CTCGTGGGGGTGGCAGAGGACGGCTGCTTCAGGCAAAGTGGTTTGAGTGTCTTGTCCAATGACACAACAACAGCATACATCAGTGGGAGTCTGTGGAGAAGGTCTTGTGGTGGGCTTGAACCCATGACCTTCAGGCTCAAAGGCCTGCCAACTGAGCCAAAGCCTTAATAAGGTGATTGGCAGGTGAGCAACAGTAACGTAAACAGCGACGTCATCAAAGCGCGCTTGGCTACCATGTTGGCTAATAACACGGGGCTAATAATACATTTAGAATATGGGCTTTCGAATTATATTTGAATTTGGAAGTCAAAGCCCTAGTGTTTACCAGCGCTGTAGAGGCTAGAGGACGCAGGCTGTTAGCTGCTCGTTCTGTGAGTGGAGGAGAGCTAGCGGCCCGCTAAGACTTTACTCAGCACTTTTTACGGCCTGAATTCATACACAAGCTGAATCAATGAGCTCAAGTTTTCAATGAAATCACGGATTATTATACAAGGGTTAGTATTCGAGATAAACTCTGCAAGCTGTCCCAGTTCTTGTTCTAGCCTTATCCCCTTTAATATTCTTTCAAAATTTGATACATTGACAACTCTATGCCTTTGTTGTTCTCATTAGCAAAAATGTTGTGTGCAAACATGCGCACCTTCAGACTTATTTTGGCTGTAGTAAGGTTTGGATGTGTTAAGGGGATTGTCTTGACAAGGAACATTTTATTTCATTTTCATTTCATTTATCGATTCAAAGTAGGTGTTTCCACACCTACTGTGGATCCTTTACACACACATAGTACAAAGACATGTCACTGAGAAGGTTTTGTCGCTGTAGTTTTAAAATCTTTATTTAAACCAAGAATAACAATTCCCAGACCAGAACCTTGAATACCATAGAAGACTGGGTTGCCAAGCAACCATAAAAAGCATCAAATGAATGATGCTCAAGAACTCTAGCCTGGCTCCAGCCGACCTTTAGCCCCGCCTCCATGGAATTGCAGTGGGCAGGTCGGTCTGGCATTTCTCAATTGAAAAACTATTATGCCCCGTACGAAACATACCGGGTATTATAATATATAGTAGTATAATCCACTAAACCACTGTATAGTTGATATGAGCAAAGTTTAAATCTTAATCTTAAAGAACTGGTATCTCTGGTACCACCCTAAAATAAAAGTCCTTTTTAGAACACAGAACTTTGTTGAGATTGAAATTTGTATTTCAAATCTGCAATAACCATTCATCCAGAGTAACACCAAAACTGGTTGTTTATCATAGAGATCTAAACTGGCTTCTTGTGTCCTAGAGAACAGACCCCAAAGTTCATCTGTGACATGTTAGTGATATATTTAAAAAACTCACACAGGGTTTGGCACAGGGACTGGCCTTCTGCTGGGACTGTAAGAAGCACAGGGACTAGCCTCCTGAACTAAACATGATGAGGCAGGCATTTCAACTGAACAGCTTGAACCTTGAACCACTTTCCAGAAAATACGAGAAAAAGTCACCTCAACGATAACAATTATTTTCTAAGGTCAGGTTTAAAAGGTTGCCTTCTCGTCTTGTAAAGCACTTTTCAGCCTTTTGTATGAATAGTGTGACACAAACTAGTTCATTCATTTGTGCTTTTTCCACCCCTTTATTTGTCCATTTCTGGGTCGGGGGGAGCCCCTCAGAGCTGCCAGTCCCAGGGCTCATTGCACCAGTCCCTCGCTGATCCTCCTGCCTCAGCCTTCGTCTATCAGCGAGGGTTTTGGGCAACGTGGGGTAAAGAGTCTTGTCCAAGGACACAACGACAGCATACATGAGTGGGAGCAGTTGGGGTAGGTCTTGTGGAGGATCAAATCCACAACCTTCAGGCCCAAATGCCATTGCTCCACCAACTGAGCCATTGTCGACCCCTCAAACAAACTATTTCCCTTCATTTTCAAATAATGCTGTTTGCAATTGCAGCAATAGTTTTCATTCTGACATTATAAACTGTCATTATACCATCTGTCAAACTACAAATCTACATCATCTTTCTGTATTTATTTGGACAATGGAGTCACAAAAGTAGTGTGACTATCCAAACCGCACATGACGCCTCCTTGTTATTTCGTCTTTCTCAGGTAATTAGGTGACAGGCTCAGGCATTGTGTGGTTTTCTTTTTGAGACTGATTTTCAATTGTCTGTAATAAAACAATGAACAAAATGCGTCCAGCTCGTCTCTACAGCCTTCGTTAACCCCTGACTGTCAGAATGTACATCACTGAAGATAATGTTTACATTGAGGATCAAGCGAATAGAGATCAGAGAAGCCCAGAATAAATATGCGAAAAGTGTATTAGCGTGCATTAATGAAGAGGGAATGTGCGGTCTGCTAATGATCGGAGACTTCCTGCTGGAGCTGCTCATTACTGCTGCTGTCCACTCTCACCTGTGTCAGCACCAAGCACCAAGCACTTTGGAGAGAGGGGGAGGGGAGACGCCCATGCATTATACTGTAGTGTGCAGAAAAACCTTAACTAAAATGAAGCATAAGTCTTTTGAATAACAAATCACAGGGCAGTGTTGTACTGTCTTTAGGAAAAAATACAAAGAATAACGAATGAGTCGGATCAGAATCTATTCCGAGAAAATACAGTAAACAAAACAGTATTATGTTGATAGAAGAGTGTTGAACGATCTCTTCCCGATCATAATACATCAAAGGCAAATACCATAAACATATACTATTGTTCATGTTTTGAAGGTGCTTTTTTGGTTATTATGAAAGACAGGTTCAGATGTATTACTTGTTATGGGGATACATCTAAACTTGTCTTTCAAAAGAACCAAAACAAAAAGCATTTTAACTCAAGACAAAATGAACCTTTTTGACTCTGACCTACATATTCTGTACTGTGGCCCTGTTATATCTGTATTACTGCTAAACATTATTATCTGGAAAAACTGAAGGAGCCTGAGTGGTGCTTTGTGAATTGGGGGGCAGCTCTGATTGCCACCCAACCCACCCAAAGGGATGAAAAGGAAGGGAAATGAGACAGAACATATTTCTTCTGACCCACATTGTTACACAGTGATGACTCTGTTCTGGTGCACATTGATAAAAAATCATTTAAAAGGTTTTTTCTCTTTTGGTTTGATCTGAAGGAACTCAAAAATAAACCGGGTTACAGGTGCGATAGCTGCTACCGCTGTTTTCATTTCTCGAAGAGACGAAGATTTTTATATGATTTGTATCAATGTGCATCAGAACAGAGATGTCATCACTCTGTTTAAGATATCGATACAGATACAGATAGATACAGGTGTAACAATGTGGTCAGAATAAATAATTCAGTTCTTCAGATAATACTGCTTAGCACAATTAGCAGGAACACAGATATAACAGAGGTCCACAGTACAGAATATGTTATCCAAAACATGCAAATTCTCCCCCATCAGGAGGTCAAATCTGTGAGCTTTAGAGCCAGTGCCATCGAGAGAGTTGCTTTGATGAATTCTATGTGCTGATTCACAGTCTATGCTGATGACGGTTGCTTACATGATGAGGATTGGGATAAAACATTGAACTTTTTTTCAGTCATGTGTCCTTACAGAAAAAGCGAGGGCGGTATTTATGAAAGAGTGTGCAGCTCTGTGATCCAGGAAGAAGAAACAGCTCGTGATAAACGCGATGATAAACCTGCAGCTTTTGAACAAGATACTATAAGATAAGAGAACCTTTTTTTGTCCCACTGTGATAAGAATTCAATGTTGCAGTGCAAAAAGTCACTCAAACTAAGAAAAAATCCACTCAATTCAAGCTATTATACCTCATATTTTCTCATTTTCTGCAGGGTATGTTTCTTAACTAGCTGTAAATACTTAGTGAGAGCAGCAAGTAAATGTATATCTATTGCAAATTGCTAATGTTTGCAGTATTTACTATTTACAGAGGAGATCAAATGTAAAGGCTCAGCAGTTCTCATTGTACAGCCTGACAGCAGCAGGCAGGCAAGACCTCCTTCACACAAGTCTGTAACTGGTGTAAATTCCGCCACTTCGGAGTAAAGGATCCCGGCACGGTGGCTATGTGGGTAGCACTCTCGCTTCTCAGCAAGAACTTGCTGGGTTCAAATCCCAGTCGGAACAGGGTATTTCTGAGTGGAGTTTGCATGTTTTCCCTGTTTCTGCATAGGTTCCCTCCGGGTTCTCTGGTTTCTCCTACCACTAAAAGCATTTACTATAGTTCAGGTTGAATGAGTGTAAATGTGGGACAACGGATGTAAGTTAGCCCATTGCTACAATCCGGAGTGATGTGTTCATTAACATGTACTGTCCCAAATAAACAATAAATAAATAAACCCCTGATTATTATCTTTTAAAAAATGCTAGTGGAAGACAAACCCAGTAAAAATATCAAAGGAATCCCTTTTGCTTCAGCAGGTGTTTACACTTAGCTGAGAGGTGTGAGTACTTGATGTGAAGTTAAAAAACAAGAATTTAACAAAGCATCTAAAATGGCGGCTAAAAATACATCCATAACGAAATAATGAAAAGCCATTGGGAAATACAATCTTATTAAGAGTGCGGCGCTGTGACAGGTATTGCTTTCCACTGCTAAGCAACTCCTCCCAGAGGGCAGCTGTCACAATCGTGATTTACACCCGCTCTGCTAAAGTTATGAAGCTCCGTCCGGTGGAACCACGCATTAGAAATGGACATTTAGAGCTATAGCACTGAGTACAATCATACAAACATGTGCAAGTAGAAGCTGAGCTGCTCTTTGGCTTGGCCAGACCCTAATTCTGCTAACATGTACAGATGTATACAGTACATACAACTATATATTTCTTGCACTAGTTTATACGGTATTTTTTACTTGCTTCATTATTATGAAAAAGTTTTCTAAGTTAAACTTACTTTTTTACTTCATTATGCTAAAGGTCTGGCCACAAATCAATCATTTATTTTAAATGTATGAACTAAAATAAATATACACATTTTAGAACATTAATGAAATGGATTTACGGACAGCTCTTGCTCTAAAACAGAGGAATGATCTCCTGCCCTTCCGGCTAATCCACAGAAAGACATTGAGGATTACAACAGTGGCCTCTCACACTGCAGCCAAAGGAGAGACTGGATCGCTTACTTTACACAGTGACAGCGAGAAACCAAAAGGGCCATAATGAGCCATAGGAAGGACATGTATCAGTCTTACAATGGGACCAGGACCCTCTCACCATTAGTAACGCAGTAATCTAAGGCATTACAAAATAACTGTACATTTTACCCTGTATAAATGGTCATACCATTGCATTTCAACCCAAAAATTACATTGTGTTGTCTATGCCACCGGGGATCAGCAGGGGAGAACAAATCTGCTCAAATAGTTTAGCTAAGAAGTATTGTTCCTTTGTTGCTAGAAGATGGCTGAAGCTGAAGCCGAAGCAGGCACTATGTCGGTCAATAGCACTTTATCAAGATGGCCAGACTTCCATTATAATAGAACTTAAAAGTAATGTGGTACTAGTGTAATGCTTTACAATTCAGAGACAGTAATATTGTTGTGTAGCACATTACTTAAAGGGTAACGTAACAGTAACAGGTAACAAGTATTTGAATTAACTTTCCCAACACTGCTCACGAGGGGAGACTCTGAGGCAGGTGCCAAGTGGAATCATGAATACAAAAAACATAAAGGACATCCCTCTTCAAAGCTCAGAACATTATGCATCATGACGGGTCAGACTTTGTCCAATGTTATTGTTTTACTTTGCTTACCACACATTCCACCACCACATTGTTGGTCATGGTCGAATCGAAGTGTAGCTCATTTCCACTGACAAAAACATTCCATTATTCCTATTCCCTTATTGATCTGAAGTACGGATAATCAGATGTATTTCTTCTCATGGGAATAAAACATGGAAACATTCTATGAGCAGTATTGTTTATATAAAACCTTTGCTCCATTTGCCTGAACAGCAGAATGTATTTTTCAACGTCCCATTAATAATTCAGACATACACAGACTGATCAATAGACCCCATTGCGGCATGCAGTATTCAGCAGCAGTGCTCCGCTCGCTACATGCACTGTCTCGCTGTAACATTCACGATCGTTGACCTTACCTTGAACAGGCGTAAGATGTTTGCAACCATAATGGAGACAGAGCTGGAGGAGGCCCCGATGACGCCAACCACTCGCTCAGGTTTGGTGATGATGGGCGATCCTCCGTCTCGACACTTCACGTCCGACCCGTCCTTCTCGATGAGGGCCTGGACGAAGGTGAGGGACTGCTCCAGAGCGTGAGTGTCCCGAGAACAGGTGTCCAGGATTCGGGCGCCCAGAGTGATGTTCGGCAGCAGGTTGTGGTCATTGTTGATGCGATCAAGGGCAAAGAGCATGGCCTCCAGTCTGTGAATCCCCTTTTCCTTTTTAAGCTCCCCACATGGCTTACCATCATGGCCCCTGGCATGGACCGGAAAGAGCCCGCCCAGAGAGATATCGCCATCAATGCGGATAGAGTTCAAATGTGTGTGGGGGGGGCCCTTGGGTTTGGCTGCTTGAGCTGCCTTAAAGTGCCCATGGAGCAGCAGTAGCAGCAGCAGCAGAGGTAGGATCAAGCTGTTAGGATGACAGCCGCTGCGATAGGGTCTACACACGGCTCTCTGGAACATGGCCAACGCCGGCTCCAACAAGCACACAATAACACGAGCCAGGTATTACTTTATGATGGCCACAGGGTTAATTGCAATAGCTCTCGAGGCCGCTGGCACGGAGAAGGCTGCTCCTCATGTCTGTCCTCGTTCCCAGGCATTCAATTAACATGGAATATGAGCTTTACGCTGTAATCCTGTTTTCTCCCCTTCAACAGGCACTGCTCAGTCCGCCGCAGTGGGCAGACGATGTGTAGATATTCACACAAACAGGCTCTGGTGCAGATCTCGCCTGTGGATCATCAGAAACACAAGCAAAACAAGATACACAATTTTCTTTTGTGTGTTTTCTTCCACCCCTTCTTTCTCCGGCTCAATCAGGAGGTTTTAATCTGGATGTTCCCTGGAGCTGGGCCTCAGTGTCTGGCAGAGCCCTCAGGCCCTAGGTCCACAGGTTTCTCCGTGATTTGCTGCAAGAAGAAAAAGAAGAAGAAGAATGATGAGACAGAGCAGAGATACATTTTGTGTTGAGTGTGAGGCTTTCACAGAATAACCTCGTTACCGCAGTATTATGTGCAACGGAGACTCGGCTCTGAACCTAAACTCATTTTTCTTTCATTTATGGCTTTTACGCAGCACACCAACATTTGCCTTTATTACATTCAAAGGGCCGTGCTCAAGGTTGTCAGGACTGGAGTCAGTTCAAGCCCACATGCTGCAATTTTCTTTCTCTCGACTTCTGAGAGCACCTGCAGCCTCTGTCATAATGTTATGTCAGGCTCTGCAGCAACGCCTGTAAATGTGCATGTGAATAAGAGCAACACGCTTTCAAAATGGTGGAGGATTAATGTGAATAAGAAAATTAAAAGCGCCTGGAGGAAATGTAGAGGTACATTCATGTACAGTATTGAGAGAAAGCATTCTTCACAAATGGAGACAATTACAACATACATATATTGGATCAGCCGTTTATTGTCTGCTCTGATGAAGACTTAAGTGGTCGAAATGTGTTGGTGCCCATATGGAACAGTCTACTGAAAGGAGAAAACCATATATCATATATGAATGAATGAATAGTGTAATAAGGGTGTAATAGCAGTTCTTTCACTTGTAAGATCTTCATAATGATGAGTCATCACATTACTTTTGGTACTTCTACCTTTTGTAGTATTTGCAGTTCCACAAATGTGTTTTATATATTTTACGTCAGGACATTACTGCATTTGAAGAATTGGGAGCAGCACAGAGTATTTAATACATTTTACCATCACATAGTTTCCATTGTTTTACAGAACAAAGGCTAAATATACAGTGAAAATGTAACATTTTGACTTGTGTTTTGACTAGTGTTAGTTATAAAATGCAAAAGAAAAAAACAATTATTCTAAAATGTTGCTCCATTTTTTGTCTATAAACAATTAAAGAAACATTATTACCACAAGCTTTGTGTACGATTTGAATGCAACATCTTTGATAGTCTAATAAATCTTACATTCTTTCTATAAAATATTTTGAACATGGTTTTCCATTCAAAATGTGGAGTGTATAATCTTTCTATGGAATGTGTATGTTGTTTGACTGACATATGTTTAATTCATACATTTCAAGCAAGTCCTATAAAATTGTTTATACAATATTTGTACATATTTTCCATGTAAAGGATAGAGGATTTTTACTGTAAAGTCAGTTGTGCCTCAGACCAGAGGTTACAGACAATGATATACAGTATGTATGAAGGGGAAAATCTTCATATGCCTGTTAGTTGTTATAAATACTGATTCTATGTTTGTTTGAGAACACATTGGAGTAAGCTGAGGCCTTTTCCTGTCATTCCATGTAATTTCAATGTTTGCCTCGAAATTCTATGGTAAATATGATAGTAGGGCTGGAGTCCTTCAGCAGAGTCAAGGACAACTCCCCTTTCATAGATGAATTGGTATATAAAAGGTATATAGGAGGGTCCAAGGACAGTAGTGATGATCCAGGACACTCAACAACATTTATTTATCTATTAACATCTATGTGTTTTTATCATTGCATTTCCTGTGTTTGAACTGATTCTCGAATCTGTGTTGGCGAGTTCTACGGCTTTGTAAAGTCCTTTGAGATAACTACTGTTGTAATTTAGGGGTTAGGGTTAAAATAATTTCAGATATAATTGCTTCGCAAATGTTTGTCCAAATAAAAACAATTGCAGGATGTGGTTTAACACTTGATTGCTCAACATAAATATTCATTTTTACCGAGTCAAATACATCCAATCAATATGACTCTTTTGATTCATCATTTATTACCATTCATATCTGCAGTTTATGTTTGAAAAGCAGATTCAAGCCCAGATCTCGTCCTATGAACACATACGGAATCAGGCTCATGATGCAGACCATAATAGTCTCTGAAGGAGCAATCTCTGGCTCTGCTCTGAAATAGAGCTGTAGACATTGGTTTCTCGGGGGAGTGGGCTGGATACCGGGGATCTGAGATTCATTGAGAGCATATTGCCAGTGACAAGGTCCTTTGAATACAGCGACCACCTTCCACTGAGAGAGAAGTCATTTTTCAGAACCCATTCTCTGCAGCTTCACTTAAGAGATCAGAAGACAACTAAGTCAAGCGGTTCACCTGTGGACCAGAAGTGCTATCAAAACTGAAATTGCTTTTCTCATTCTATAGCTTTAAAACGTTTATCTTATTTATTCTAAAATATTTTCTTTCTCAAGGTTGTGTTGTGAATTGATATCTTTAGATGACGGAGAAATACCTTATTAGCCTTGCAACAAATGAGCGAAAAGGCAAAGCTGACTAACAGTGTATAAATGTCCTTTGGAAACTTTGGGACGTCTGTGCATTTCAGCCATAAATAGAACTACTGTAAAGGCTCCAAAACAGGTCCTATGTATTACAGGTACAGCCACATGATGCAGTCAAATGATCCAGGCTCGTTATGCAGTCTAAATTCAATTCAACTCTATTTCTTTAGCCCTAAATCACAACAGTAGTTATCTTGGAGGACTTTACAAAGCTGTTGATGCATGATGCAGTCACATGATGCAGTCACATGATGCAGTCACGGTATGTAATAATCATACAAAGTTGATTTTACACAGCACACAGCAAGAGGAGGCATCTTCCTGAAAATGTGAGACAGGCTTCTTCTCTGACAATGTTCAAATCCAGATTAAAAACAGAACAAGGCCAGTTGTTTCTCTTTTTAATGTACTGTGATTATTTATGCCTTGTTGTTTCTTGTTTTGTTAAGTACTTTGAGTTGCCTCATGTATGAACAGTGCTATACAAATAAACTTGCCTTTCCTTTTGGTGTAAAATGCTGGTATTTTTTTTTCTGGATAGTGCCCGAAGTCTTGCATAATGTCGTCCTTCAGTTGTTTAAAAAAATCATAAACATAGAAAAAAGATATCATAAAACAGGATTGGAGACGTGACTCTGAGGTCTCCCAAAGAAAAGCCGGAATTTCCATAGTGCCATTGTCTACAGATGTATTCTCCAAAACCATCATCACTTTTTCAACTCTTTTTGTGTTCCATAAATCTCTTTGCTTTAATCCCAGAGATCTGAGAGTTCTGTGTGGGGCCACCACATCGGACCTGATGAATAAATCACAGTCTCGCATTAAGGTTTTGATGCATGCAGTGTGATGCCGGCTTTATTAAACAAACCTCCTCTGAAACCGTTTGGTCCTTATGAAAAAGTCGGCAAAGCAGAAAAATTTGTTCAGCTGATAAAATGTGAAAGTGGACAAAAATGGATGCCACTATAGATATCATCTTATCTCTATATTTGACTGTAAAAAATGTGCTCCGCTCAACAATTCTTAGAGTTGATGTCTGTAACTTCAATTGTATTTTGTTAAATTATGCATTATTCTGACCAAATGACCATTAAGTATCACATAAAGTAAGTATTTTTCAAAAGCAATATTTTTAACACAGTCCCTCTCCTTGGCATAATGACAGTAATAATAATGCTTCGGTTTTATATATTGTTTTTTTCTTCTACTCCATACACAGTGGTGATAAACTACTACTGAAGCCACAGCTGCCCTGGGGCACACTGACAGAAGCGAGGCCATAAATCCACAACCACCAACCATTCATACACACCCCAGATTCATTCTAATGTGGGTGAGGTGTCTTGCCTAAGGGCACAATGACAGTTTGGCACTTTACAGCCGCAGCTACCCCACTGTGGCACCTGTTCCCAGAGGTTGCCCATCACAGCACTAACCAGGCCCTGCCCTGCTTAGCTTCAGAGGTGTGACGGGATGGGAAGTGGCCATGGCCGAGGGTTGATATTTCTGTCCAATTAAGAAGCATGGGGGGGTGAGAATGGGCGGGTCAAACCAATATCTTCGAGGTTTTGGAAGAAATCTCTCTCTCTTCACAATTCAAGAAGTCACTGACCTTAACTTTAAAGCTGATTATGACACACATGTGGCATCTGTGGCATTAAGCATATTCCAGAGACAAAAAGAGGAGGAAACAGACTCAAAACATTACTTCAAAGAGAGTCCTATACATAGTTCCCACATGACGTCACTACATACGGGGATTTGCCGACCCGGCGCCATTTGTGTTGGCATGCTGTGGGCAAAACAATAGAAAAAGTTGCCCACCATTCACCAAAACATACGGTCAAAAACGCGGAAATAAACAATAACAGTAATCCAGAGTGTCCGTGTGGCATTAGCATTAATTAAATTAATTGTTAATATAATTAAAATAATTAA